TCACTTAACAGAATTTTACACTTCACTGTTTTTATCCTTTAATATGGAGGCAGATGTAAATGAGTGGGCATTAAATCCTTTTGAGGTATGCATTTATTCATTTTTACGAACTTCAAACTATAATTATATACTCTAAAGAATTGTTGGCTTAAGTGATATGCTAGTTTAACGCAAAGTGGCTTTATATGCTTAGAATATAGTGACATAAATATATTTTATGTTCAATAAGTCATTGTACATCTTTAATTGTGCTGATTTTTTGAGTTTATCGTTGATGTTTTCATGAGACTATGTTTGATAATTGATACACAAACCCAAAATAAGGAGGCTCTTAAGGTCTTTTGCTCTTAATTAGTTCTTTTGCAATCATTCTTTGATGACTGTCTCATACTCTTATTTGTTATTATAGTGAGCAGTTGGCAGAGGCCTCTTGAGGCTTTGATCCTCGATGAACGAACCAGCTAAGAGCTAAGACGCAAAGGAATCCATCGAGTCAGAGAACGATCGAAACAGCAAAGACCGGCCCGACTCACAACTCACAACTACGGATGTGGAAAGCTTTGGGCATCGCAAGAAGGATGAAGCTCAACCAGTCCAACGAAGCACGACAAGCAACACATAGCTCAGTTCTTTGATAGTGAATACCTTCCTAAGTCCTAAACATAGTAGAAACTCAGATGTCTAATGATGTGGAGAATCCTAAAGGTGAAATCACTAAGTCACTTCATACTCATCCACATGATGTCCAATCAACCTGGTATATGATAGCTTACTTCAACAAGCATTTAATTTGTTTATGGCATAGCACTAGGCGATTGTATATCAGCATATCTGTTGTCCATCATAAACAAATGGGCCATAATGAAATTCCCTTACCCGGATGCTCTAACTTCCCTTTAGTACTCCACGAGTGCTTTTGGAGTCCTTGTTTGTGGGTGGCTAAACTTAATCCAACGCGACAGTCTTGACCTCTTCACATTATGGAGATTCTTACCCGTGGTAATAATTTTTTACCTATCGCTTTTCACAAAAAGTGAACTTCTCCATGCCAATGTGGACACTTTTATTGTCTTTAGATCGGCACTGCCAATCTTTGTGGCAATTGGGGAGACTCTATACCTCCACCAGCCTTGGCCGACGATACAAACTTTTTTGTCTCAGGCACCATCTTTGTTGGTAGTTTGGTTTATGTCATCACAGATTAGCAGATCACCCTAATCGCATACGGTTGCGCATTGGCTTACTTGCTGAGCATGTCGGTTGATTTTGTCTACATCAAGCACGTTGTCATGACTATTGGGTTGAACTTATGGGGCCCAATGCTGTACAACAACCTTGAGGCACTTCTTCTTTTCCCCAATGAGCTCCTCATAATGGGAGAACTCAAGAAGATCTAGCATGAGATCACGGATGAATCAAATTGGTACAGATTTCAAGTGTTGTTGCCCGTGGGTCTCTCGCGCCTATATGGTTTGTCAATTTCTTTCTTCGGGTTTTCTTGTCGTAAGGCAATCTCCGCCACTGGGTTCATTGTACTTATCATAGTTAACAAACTGTTGACGGTTGTAATAAATCTTTTCATATGTCCCACAGATGGTGAAGGAGAAACAAGAAAAGCTGCTTGAAATGCAGGGCAGCTCATATAGAATCAATAATGTAAATGAAGTTGCAGAATCTGAAGGGGGCAGTGATGTAAAACTTGAATAGAACTTACATGAGATTCTTTTAGGGTCTGTGTGGATGGGAAAGGTTTAGAAGAGAAGCTTTGTCAGAGTCTATATCTTAGTAAAGCAGATGTTTCTAAAACAAATAAAAGGTGATTGGAATGTTATATGATCACATACTTTTACAAGAAAGTCCTTCAAAGTGTTCCCCTCTAGATCCCTCCAGCCAGACTATTATATGGCAGACATTTTTTCACAGCACTGATCTCTCTATCGTTCTGGAAGCTAGCTGAGTCTTTTTTATGGGGAGGGGGGTGTTAGGAATTGGGGCCTAGTTCATGGCTAGGCTACTTTACATATGAAGTGTTGTTTGCAAATGAAATCAGAAGCAAATGCCTGTTGATTGTGATTGGATAGTTTTGGACTTTTGAGCTTTATATTGAGAACAGGTTACATGTTCATACTTAAAAAAAATGCTTTTATAGTATTGGGAATAAGGATTTATTAGTCACAATGTTACATCAATAAAGAAATCTATTGATAAATGATTTCTACTTGAGAGTATTCTTCAATTTTTAGTTCGGATTATTCCTCGTCTCTCTTCCCTGAGGTTTGCTTAAGCATCACATTTTGATAAATAAACTTGGGTTCAGGCTTTTGACGGGAACATATTTCATTGTAATACATGAGGAAAGTTGAGTACAAAATAAAAAAATCTGCTTCAGCTTCATGCTACCGTTTTTTTTCCTGTTGATTATTTTCCCATAATTATTCCAATGTCTGACATGTATATATTCGTATTTTCAGGTTTATGCTATTTAGTATTAATGGTATTCAAGTTCCTCTACAGACTATTGCTGAGGTTGGAGATGCATTCACAAATATTCTCAAAGAGGTTCCTTTTGATGTTCTTTTTCCATTGTTTACTTACATAATCATACACGAGATTTTTATTTAATTAATCATATAGTTCCTTTGTTGACACATTATTGATAAATAGACTAAGGAAGTGAGGGATGAGTGTAGTCAAGACATGTCAGTGCAGCATGCAATATCAATTGTACTAGACTGGACAGATATCCAACCAAGCTATGTTCAAAGATAAGATTGTATTACAATTATTAATGGCTTGCCTAATTATCTTTGATGATATTCTCAATTATACTTCCTAATTTAGACATTTTTGTGGTTTGGATTGTTCATGGTATTAAGATAGCTTGACCTACTTTATCTTTTCAATTGAAGCTGCACTTTTCCTCTTTTTAAATCTATGAAGTATGCTCGTTACAACATAGTATTTAAATGTTCTTTACCCTTATCACTTTATTAGTTCTTTTAGCTTAATCATTTTAGCCATATTATCCCTTCTGATTGCAGGTTCTAGTTCTATCAATATATGCACTCTTATCCAAATTTGAATGTATATTCATTTATAATTCTTTTATGGTTGTATATTATGATCACAATGATTGTGACTATTTTCAATGCAACGACCATTGGGTGGTGGGTGCCATTGATCTTGAGATGAGTAGGATCTAGTGATCTACTAATTGGATTCAATTGGAGATACTCCGGCTGCTAATTTTGATATTATTATGAATCAGTTAAACATTGATTTTGCTCATATTCCTCTGTTTTTGGACAATTTTAATTAATCAGTCTTATATATATATATATATATATATATATATATATATATATATATATATATATATATATATATATATATATATATATATATATATATGGAAGAGTCCTTGAGTCTGTCGTGATGAAATTTTATAACTCATTTTCAGGGGAGTAAAGATACGATCTATCAGGCCGCAAAGTCAAATAAGAGACTAACATGGAGTTGGTTAACTGTAACGGTATCACTAGACTAGTAAAATTAATAACATCTCAACCTTTATATTTATTAAATCTTAAATTGAAATTTATATATGTAGTGCCCAAAGCAAAAAGGTTCAATTGAATGTGGTTACTTCGTGATGACGTATATTAAGGATATCGTGGGCAATGTGAAGGTGTTACTTGGGAGTATAATCCTTGACATCAAGTCATATTTTGTATTACTTGGGAGTATAATTCTTTTAATGTTTGGTTTTAACTAAAAATGCATAAGTAAAAATGGGATAGGTCACTTTAATTTGGACGTAATTACTTTAATATTCAGTGTTAGTTTTTACTATCTAATTAACGTAATTGTTATTTTTTTTGGTGTTGTAAGTTTTCTGCAATTATGGAGTATTCTGAACATGACATCCTTCAAATACGGGAGGAGTGGGCTTCGTATGCAGCAACTTTGGTGAAAGAGTAAGTTGTAATGTCTTTGTTCAAAATTGCCTATGTTGTGATGTATGATGCTACATTAATATCAATCTTGTGCACTTGGTTGTTAGTCAATTCTATATTTTATTTGTTTTTTTGTGATTAGTTGAATGAACTTTGGGCTGCAATGTGTTCAAGGACTGACCAGTTGGTGAAAAAATGTGAAGAACTTTTGGGAAGACTTTTATTTGAATGTTGTGTTATGATGTAGTTGGGAAAACTAAGCCTGATTGTGAACCATTGTTGTAATGCTTTTGTGATGATGTATTATTATGCTAGGAATGTCGTGAAACTCTAACAATGGTATACTTTGGTGTAGTTTGGATTGGCTAGCTTATTTTGAGTTTAATAGCTAGCTTGATGATCATTTTGAGATATTGTGACTTTGATAAGTTATTTTGAGAACATTTCACATTTGTTGTTTGGTATAAATATATAAAATCTAGGTTCGTATTTGATATTAAAGAAATCCTGGAAATAATCAATATATACAGAAAGATTTGAGAAATGCAAAATGAAAAAAGTTAAGTAGATGATACTAAGATGTCATCATTCTGGTTGACAATAGTATGACATAAACTACCATGACACAAAAGTGTCATAAATTATCATGACACAAGTGTCATAAATTATCATGACACAAACGTGTCATTACATTTAGACATACAAATTTATCATTGTTTTATGTGATTTTTATGTATCATTAAATTTTGAGACACCATAGTATCATAAAAAACTATACTGTTTATATATCATAAAATATGTTGTTACTCTTGTGACACAATTTGCTGACACTAAGCTGTGACACTAAATTTAGTGTCACAACTTCCAGTTTTCGTTGACACTTTCCGAGTGTCATGAAATCTTTCGCTGACACTAAATTTGTGTCACTATAGAGCCATTTTCTACTAGTGTGTTTTTTTTTTAATTATTAGAGAGCTTTATTAATGATGAAATCAGAAATTACAAGAAGGGAAAAAAGAAAGAAAAATAGCAAACAAAGAACAAAGAAGAAAGAAAAGGAAAGAAAGTTAGAAAAACTAGCCCAACCCAAAGTACAATATAAGGTCCCTGCTTAGATAACCCCAATACTTCTTCATGAAATCAAAACTCCATTCGTGTTTGAGACCTAGTCCTCATAAGATGCGATCGCTGATTCTTTTTTCTGTATATCTTGATTTGAGTATTCAAGTTCTCTGTAGGTAGACAATTTTCTCTCGTGACCAACAAAGCTTTATTACATATATTCTCATTTGTATCAGAATCCCATAGATCCTCCGTTGATGAAATAGGAGTTCTCTTCTCACTTTCTGAAGCATGACCAAAAAAATCATCTTCTGAGTGTGTACAAAACTGCTCGCCCAAAAAACCTTCACAATCAAAAGCATCTGTGTACTGGTTACCTGAGAAAAGCCATTTTCTACTAGTGTATAAATATATATAAATATATATATATATATATATATATATATATATTATGAAAACCAATTTTACAAATAATAAATGTTTGGCACAAATAATAAAATATGTATAACTTTTGTACATATTTTCAGAATACTTTGCACTGATAATTTTTTTTGTAAAGTTAGGCCACACAAAAAAATCAATTGAAAAAAGCAATTTTAGAGACGATATCATACACATATGACACAATAAAATATGTCTCAAACGGGACATATAATGTATTTTTGTACAAATTTTCAAAATCTTGAACACTGACAATTTTTGTTTGCAAAGCAAGGGCATAGAGAAAACCATGGATCGAATTTACCGACAATAAATGTATCGCACAAAAAGTGTAAATCTTTTACCGTGTTGAAACATTCTTTGTCTATGTCACAATGATAGTTATACCGCGAACTGTTAGTGGTATTACTGAGAAAAGACATATGCAATTGTAGAACAAGAAAGAGATTTGCAATGAATGAATATTCATTGGAACCCTTACAATTGTTCAAAATGGGTCTATTTATAGTGGTAATAAAACAAAGTAGACTAAATGCTCTTACGCGTTGGGGCCGCGGGTGATGCTCTATGGGTGAAACCTTGTATTGTATGTTGGAGAAGAGATGTGGTGCCGCTAGCGTCAGTACTGCAAGGGATGAGGGTGCATGTTGTCCTCGACCGTAAATGATCTACTAGTTAGATAAAAGACATATACATGGAAAATTCTCCACAAGCCTTTTATCTAACTGGTGGATGTTTGTGTGGTCTCGTTCGATATAGTACAATAGAAGTAATGGTGAATGAGGAGACCATCGACGAATATGATTATGTATATCACCTTTCCCCCCATGTGTGTTTGCTTCATGTTGTGGTACCCTCGACCGCTCGAGGGGTGTATCCAAGAATGTAGTCTTTTGCTTGTTAGGCTGAGGCAGGATGTCTTGTGAGTATGTGAGGCGTGAGTTGGGCTGGTCCTAGTTATGAGCCAAGACCGCCCCGTCCTTGCCATGTTTTATTGAAGACCTTGTCCGACTCGATTATTTTTAGTTTTGGTTACCGACCCGGATCTGTTGATCTGTTTTTGCTTTGGTGCATCCGTTCCAAGCTAAAAAAGAAGAAAAAAATGGCCTGCCAAGGCCGGAACCACTCAGTTCAGTCCCAAAATCAATCATTTGGGATCGGGTACCCATCATGGCGGATAACATTAGGACAACGTTAGTCATAGGCCATAAATCGAAAAAAACGGACCTGAACTAGTCCTAAACAGTACTGAACCTGGTTCCGAATCGAGCCATACCGGATCCATCTCGAGGTGTGACTCGTGGATGTGAGCCCATATACTCCATCACATATGATGGAGTATATGGACTCCGATCCCCGGTCTGTCGACTACTGGGCCTGGACAGCGACCCACACATGTTTAGCATATATCATTCATATTATTGTACATTATTATTATTCAGATGTTCTAAATTAGTTTTTTGTACTATCAGTCCATTTATGTAACCGGGTCTGTCGGGCCCATATTAGAGGGCCAGACCCGGATTTTCCCTATATATACTCCTTATAAGAGGCTTGTAAACATAACTCAAGAACTAAAGAGTTCATACACAATACACATTTTCTTCTTTCTCCATTACTTTTTTTAATTCTTGTTCAATCTCTCTTAGTTATAGGATATGGGTATCAATTATCCAACAATGGTGCTCTCGTTGAGAGGTTGAACACAATCAAGTGAGAAACTCTCCCAAATTACCAAAAACTCTTCCCAGTCACAAAAAAACTGTTCTGGAAAAATAAAAAAGAAAGAAAAACTGGGATTTTGCGGATCTGGAACTGCTCTTCCGAGCGTCAGTCAACCGGATCCGTCACGGTCAAAGGGAATAACCTTGTCGGAACCGGCCAAGCAGGGGAAGCAGCTGAAATCCGGAACCCAGCCCACCACCCGCGGCGACGCCACAGCAAGGCCATGCTCCGCAGCGGATCTGCGACCCGGAGGACCACCGGCGAAGTACGGTCTCCGCCGTCTCGCTCGCGACGGCACCCTACTCCCGGCAGCTCTGCTGCCGCTTCGGCCTCCATCGCAGCTCAAGGAAAGCGGGGGCCATGACTTCCATCTTCCTAAGTCATTTTCTTTGGTTGTCGGAGGTCCGCCATTACTGGCCATCTCCAAGCTCCGAAGAATGACAAGTCTGAGTTTCGTCAACTCCGCCACCGTGCGCCAAGTCGCCACAGCAGAAGCTTTTCTGCTGGATCCTTCCGCTGCTACCTCATCTAACATTTTCTCCGACAAAAACCTCTGTCCTTCCGAAGACACAGTTTTCTTCTCCATTTTTCCGGACTTCTCTGTACATTCTTTTACGTCCACTACAACCACCTCCGAGCTTCAAGCTCTTCACCTCCAGATCATCCAAATCATATCTCCTTACACCTCTAACTACATATGGCAGCACCAGCCCTTTAATCTTAGCCTCTCCACTACTTCCCCGCCCCATCTCGGCGGCAAACTACGCTTCGGCGCCTAGAAGATGAATGGTTTGTGGTATTCCTCCTTTTTGAGATTTCCAGGAACTTCCCGAACTTATCAATTTGCATTTGGGACAGCGACGGCGAGTTCCTTCTCATCGAAACTGCATTCCACCCCCCGCGGTGGCTCAATCCCGACAGCGCCACAAATCGCGTTTTTATCCGCACTGTCCGTCCTTGCACCGCGCAGCTTCCCTGACCACTGCCAGCTATCAGCCAGCAAGCCGATTTGTCTTGGCTTGGCGAGCGGGTCTTCCCAAAGGATATTCCATATATTACTCCTTGGTTGTAGACTGACCACGTCCGCAAGGTTGAAGCAAAAAATGAAAGAATAATGGGGATCTTTGGCTCTTGCAAAGATGTGGAAAATTTTGACCAAGTCAAAATTGCAAAAAGGGAATCAAATCAATTTCAAGATTGATAGCAATTGATAGCAGTGGGCCGCACTACATGTTATCCAACTAAGCTTTTCAAAAGGCCACATTTCAACAAGTACCCAATTTCAGCCCACTTCAAAAAGATAAGTATTCTTTAATTTTTATATTATTTATATTTATTTAAATCATTTTTTTGTCGGTTGAATGTCACACTATCACGCACTTATGATCAAATGCCTAGTAGAGTGTGGCTTGAGACCCATCGCTATGATTTAAAGCCCTGACTCCTCAGGCACAAAGCCCTGACTCCTCAGGCACCAAGCCCCGACCAAGTCGGGCACGAAGACCTGTCTTAGTCATTCCCCGAGTGGCGACCGTTGCTTACGAATGACTCACACATCCATTCTACTAAGTATTTAATCATTACATTAACAATTCACATCTCCACTTGTTTCGAATAACGAACTCCCGATGGGAAACATAAATCCCAAGAAAAAGATTTTATATGTATGATAAATGTGTAGGTACAGAGATGACTTTACTCATTTTCACCTTGTCTCCACTCGCCTCAAAGAGTGGGGACTGGGGGACTGAGGGGTCAGAGTTTCTAGAAGAGCAGAAAATATCACACATGAGCAGGAACGAGAGCTGAGTCGGTTGAAGATGAGTTGAGCTAGATTGATTATGCCGGAGGAGACTTACCTTCCTTGTTTTATGTTGGGGGCGCTAGGTGTACTCTTTTTCCCTTTATTAGGATTTTTTCCCACTGAGTTTTTTCCTAGTAAAGGTTTTTAACGAGGCACCTCCCCATCATTGACAAGGGTGGTGGTCCCTCGGCCGAAGAGGAAGAAATCAAAGACAAAAGAACGTTGCAGCTACAGTTTGGACTACTCCCTTTCGCCTCGAGTACTCTCGACTCAGGGAGTGGGGGACTCCTGATGGAGTATATGGACTCCGATCCCCGGTCTGCCGACTACTGGGCCTGGACAGCGGCCCACACATGTTTAGCAGATATCATTCATATTATTGTACATTATTATTCAGATGTTCTAGATTAGTTTTTTGTACTATCAGTCCATTTATGTAACCGGGTCTGTCGGGCCCATATTAGAGGCCCAGACCCGGATTTTCCCTATATATACTCCTTATAGGAGGCTTGTAAACATAACTCAAGAACTCAAGAGTTCATACACAATACACATTTTCTTCTTTCTCCATTACTTTTTTTAATTCTTGTTCAATCTCTCTTAGTTACAGGATATGAGTATCAATTATCCAACAACATACATTTATTATCTTCAAAATTAAACTTCTTCAATCGACATTTTTATCTATGGTCTAAATGGCAGAAACAAGTCAGTGCAAATGATTTTGAAAACGTGAACAAAAAGTTTATATCTTTATCTAGTCTAAACATTTTTATCAGTGCCCGATTATTTTTGTCTATGTCCTTATTTCAGAGAACAAAATCATCAACGCGGAGATTTTTTAAAATGTGTACAAAAAGTTTAATTTTTTACTTGATATGAAATTACAAACTTAACTATGTTAAAGTAACAAAAATTTAATGGTGATGATTCAATTTTAATAGCTAGTACTAAATCTCTTCAAAAACTAGGGCGACCGAGGAACATCATATATAAAAATCTAAAAATTGAAAATACGACGAATACATTTTAACATGAGCAATAGCTCATGAACTAAAAGTGCGATTTTCCCCAAAACAAAAAAAATGGGTAAATGAACATCAAACTAAAAACAATGAATTTCTTTTATCAGGGCTTGTTAAAGGGACACATGATGCATTGGGACGGAAGACCAAGAATGAACAAAAGAAGCAAAAAAAAAAAAAACAAGAAAAAGGGAAAATGAAAAGAAAAAAGTGAAAAAGAAAGATTAAAATGAAGCGAGGAACAAAAGAAAGATTAAAATGAAGACAAAGGATTAAGAGCAAACTCACATTAATTGAAGCGGGGATGAAAAATGAAAAAATGCAAAAGAATTATATGTAGACATGTAGTAATAGAGATGTGAAAGGGCACAGAAAAGAACGAAAGATGAAAAAGAAAAAGAATTCGAACAAAAAGAAATGTAAGTGGAAGGAAATTATGATAGGAGTCCAAGAGGATGAAGAAAATGAGCTAAAAAATGAGGACTCTCGGATGACCTATTGTTAGCAATAATAATTATAATATCAAGACAATTAATTGGCTTTATTGATGATTACTCATGGATACTTTTTCAATAATTCTTGGTGTACATATCAATATATTACGCTGTATGTGTCACAAATAACATTTTAATTTTAAAGATGATATTTTCCATAATATCGATAAAAAATGGGGTGTGCACCTCATGTACTAAATGACATGTACGAAAAGGTGTTTTAATGCTTTTTTTAGTTGAGGGGCTAATGTGATAGGTTAAAATTAGTAGAATGCCTTATTTGATCACTTTACTTGAATTAACTATTCATATGTCGGAAGTGAACTCACATATCAAAATGTTATTATCTGGATTGATTTTGTCTCATTTCAAGTTAGATCGGGAGTTTTTTCCCCAAATAAAGTCAAACAAAAAATATTTCTCAAATTAACGTTGGATTAAAAGTATTTCTCAAACTATTGCCCCAAAAAATTCCAATAGTTGAATAGTATAAGGTAATGGGCCCCACCTAAAATAAAATTTCCTATTTTCTTTAAAGTGACATAACTTTTTTATTTGTACTCCGATAGTTACAAAATATATATCAAAATTCATAACTTTTTATTATCTTTCATATGACACCAATAATTAATATATATATATATATATATATATATATATATATATAAAATAGCACTTAAAAAATTATCTGTTTTTTAAAACGGTATATCTTTTTTATTTTTATTCCGATTATTACAAAATATATATCAAAATTCTTAACTTTTTATTATCTTTCATATGAGATCAACATTTCATGTATAAAAGTAAACACAAATCTAATAATTTGTGTAGTTTAGGATTGTTTTTTGCCGTGAAAACAATTAATTGGGACTCGAGGGTGATAGATTAAAATAAAATTGCAAAAAATCCATCACATTTATTTATTTATTTATTTTATTCTTTGCACGATAATTTATGCTATTTTATTCTAAGTCATCACTCCGGATTAATAGCGTGCAAGATGAAGACGATTATAAACTGCACAAGTGAATAAGATTTTTTAATTTTTTATTTGCAACATTGGTGTCATATGAAAGATAATAAAAATTTATGAATTTTGATATATTTCTTGTACCAATTGAGGTATAAATAAAAATGTTTTAGCATATTTACTCATATTTATGTGACTATCTCACATGTCACATGTGCACCGTGCACATTGTAACATTGAAGATGTTCTAACTCTAGTTTATTGAGGAGCACTAGTTTGGAAAAAACTCTTATATCAGATCAAACTTTCAGCATTTTCTGACTCAACGTACCTGCTCGTCTCACTTTCACTTCTTCCTTATCCTATTTTCCATACATCAGACCAAATTAGGATGTTTTCTGTTGGACTGTTTTCAGTCTCAGATCAGACCAGACCAAATCAGATCAGACCAGATCAGACCGGACTCTCGTAGTTATAAAATACACCGAAACCAGACGTTTACCAGACCAGCAAATTTCAGTCCAAAGGAAAACATCCTAGACCCAATCTAAATGAAGTAATCCAAAACGCTTAAACAAACCAGCCAAACAATTTCAATTCAATAAAAAAAAAACCAGCCCAATTCAAAGAGATCACATAAAATGGATCATTTGTTCGTTCAGACGTAACCACGCCATCCGCCAACAGCACAGCTGGATTCACTCTAACATTTCAAATTTCAAAATTCAAAATCCAAAATCCGAACCGTTGGTTTTTTTTACACCGTCTGATATAACTCTTACCCTAAACCACCCTCTCTCATCCATATATAACCCCCTTAACCTTATCTCTCTGCAAAAGCTCCTCATCTCTTCTCCATCCCCATCTCCGATCTCTCCTCTTGCCATCCTCCCCTTCATCTTTTCTGCGGTTCATTTCCCTCTCCGCAACCTACAATGCGTGAGATTCTTCACATTCAGGGCGGCCAATGCGGTAACCAGATCGGAGCCAAGTTCTGGGAAGTGGTTTGCGCCGAGCACGGCATTGATGACACCGGACGGTACAATGGAGACTCAGATCTGCAGTTGGAGAGGGTGAACGTCTACTACAATGAGGCAAGTTGTGGCCGGTTTGTCCCTCGGGCTGTTCTGATGGATCTGGAGCCTGGAACCATGGACAGCATCAGATCTGGTCCCTACGGGCAGATTTTCCGCCCGGACAACTTTGTGTTTGGCCAATCCGGAGCCGGAAACAACTGGGCGAAGGGGCATTACACTGAAGGCGCTGAGTTGATCGATTCCGTTCTGGATGTTGTTCGCAAGGAGGCGGAGAACTGCGATTGCCTCCAAGGTATTTGATGAAATGATTTCTCCTTGTTTCCTTGACGTTGCGAAATGTAGATCTAACATGTTTTATGAAATTTGATCCTCGCAGGGTTCCAAGTTTGTCATTCGCTGGGAGGTGGAACTGGATCTGGAATGGGGACCCTTCTGATCTCTAAAATCAGAGAAGAGTACCCTGACAGGATGATGTTAACCTTCTCTGTCTTCCCATCTCCTAAAGTATCAGATACCGTCGTTGAGCCGTACAACGCCACGTTGTCGGTGCACCAGCTTGTGGAGAACGCCGACGAATGTATGGTTCTAGACAACGAAGCCTTGTATGACATTTGCTTCCGGACCCTCAAGCTCACCACTCCTAGCTGTAAGCTTTTCTCATTATTTCCTTTTATGATACATATCTGAATATCTTTGTGTTTTGATTAGGGTTTTAAAACTTGTTTTGTGCATCTGTACATGTCTTTAACTAGTTCTGCAAATTACCTTTTTGAAGTTATTATATTTATGATCATTAAAATGTTGTATCCTTTCTATCAGTTGGAGATTTAAATCACTTGATATCTGCAACAATGTCTGGTGTCACTTGCTGCCTCCGGTTCCCTGGGCAGCTAAACTCTGATCTAAGGAAACTCGCTGTTAATCTCATCCCATTCCCTCGGCTCCACTTTTTTATGGTTGGGTTTGCCCCTCTGACCTCCCGCGGCTCTCAACAGTACCGTGCCTTGACTGTCCCTGAGCTAACCCAACAGATGTGGGATTCAAAGAACATGATGTGCGCAGCTGATCCCCGTCATGGGCGTTACTTAACTGCATCAGCGATGTTCCGTGGGAAGATGAGCACCAAGGAAGTGGATGAGCAGATGCTGAATGTGCAGAACAAGAACTCTTCATACTTCGTTGAGTGGATTCCAAACAACGTTAAGTCAACAGTTTGTGACATTGCACCTACTGGTTTGAAAATGGCAGCCACTTTCATTGGGAACTCGACTTCGATTCAAGAAATGTTCAGGCGTGTGAGTGAACAGTTCACTGCCATGTTCAGGAGAAAGGCTTTCTTGCATTGGTACACTGGAGAGGGAATGGATGAGATGGAGTTCACAGAGGCAGAGAGCAACATGAATGATCTGGTGTCTGAGTATCAACAATACCAGGATGCGACTGCCGATGAAGAAGCCGAGTATGAGGATGAGGAAGGAGAATACCAGGAGTAATGATCCCCACCCATTGATGTTGAGGAAGATGATGATGCATTTTTATGTTTGTTGAATTGTCCTTTTTTTACTACCCTGTGGTTGTGATCTCAACTACCAGTTATCTTTAAGGTGATTAAGAACATTTGGTGAAGTTGAAAACAATTACTTCTATTTTGTTTGTTAATGGAATCTCTGTTTGTTGATGTTTACTTCCATTTGTGTAATTAAAGATGTTTTCTTTTGGATGGTTTTCAGTCCCAGTCCAGACTTAACAGATCATACCAGACTAGACTTCCGTAATTATAAATTACACAGAGACTGTAATTTTTTGATGTGTTGTGCTTTGTTGTTTTTGGCCAGACTGTATGATGATTACTCTTTACCTAACATGGGTTGTTGCGTTTAGCCAAATGAATATGAATAAGCATGTTACGTCTTTCACACCAGGTGATCTGCTTCTATTACGTCTTTGATTGAATGCAGAAAACAGGCCTCTTTGAACGAACTACTGCTGGCCAAATATGGGCAGTTATTGATCCTTAATGAACGAATTTGGCTCAATTGGAAATTATTGACCCATCTTTGGAAAACTGCATTGATTTAAATTTTACTAGGAG